ATATATATATATACATATATAGGAACATCGTGTGTGCAAATAAGTTGTGAGGGTTTTTTTTTACGAAGAAATTGGTGCAATGCATCCTCTTTAAAATACTGTTTATCGTTAGCTACAACTCCTCTCCGAGTTCCATCTCGCGCTGAAGCGCTCTTGAAACAAAGAATAAGTCTGTATTAATCGGAACGATTAATGTCTGCTGAAAACGCCAAGACATTTTAGCTTATCAGTGCAGAACATTTCCTGAGCGGCTTTTGCTATATGAGTCTTCAAACTAAAAGCTCATGATGTCATGTCTTTTGGTATATTACCCTAGGGATGGTTTTATTTGATTGAAACAAACATTAATACACCACGCCCAGTTGACCCCCGCATAGACCCTTTCGCCGATGTTATTGGTTCCATTACTTTCAATAACGGTTGCTTAGGCTTTGGATATTGTAGCACATCCACAGTTTATCGCTCGTAAGGATTTAGTCGCGCTATCGGCAAAAATAAAGTTTCTCGTAAATTTAATTTTTTTTTGGCGCAAAACTACATCTCTTTTCAAAGCTCCAAGAAACTATGTTGCGTACTATTGTGATCATTTAGACAGATGTGTTTACTTGAAAGGCCAATATTTTCAAATGAAGAAGTCACAGTTTTACTCTACACTGTACAATCGAAATTACAATCTCTCTTACCGAACCTGACCGAACTAATTTGCACTCCCTATGCGTACATACACATTTATGTACATATGTATTAATAAGAAACCATTAATAAATAAGTATTGCATGACATCAGTTAGGTTTGCTAACTGTACTGAATGCACATCTGCCGTATGTGTCCTTTTTAGTTAAGAATTTGTAAATATTAATTGCTCTTCCTGTCTTCTTAGCATCACACAACAATTTTCGTAAACATTGAGCCAATAGACACAATTTCTTTTCTCATGTTGTATTTGTTCGGTAAATGGGTTAAACTAAAGCACAAATTATACAAGCATTCATATGTACGCTTATTAAGAAAATTTGTTTAAGAAACTTAATAACGCATCAGGGCACAAATACGCATATATACATATATATATATATATATATATGTCCGTTGCCTAAGAAATATGTTTTACTTGGATATAATATTTTGGTTTTGCATTATTATCCAAGCCATGAACATTATCATCATTCACATAAAGCAGCATAAATATTAATTAGATTAATTTAATAATTTGCGGTCTTTCTAATAATTTCAATACAACTCACATACAAGCAAAATTATACGAAATAGAAATAAATGTTGTAATAATGTAAAGGGGAAAACAAGCATTGCTGCCACGTTATTAACATCAGTAGGAAACAATTAGCAAAAGTATGAGATCGTATTTAACCCAATCTTTTCAAATAGTGTGAAGTTAAATGCGAAAGTAATTGGCAAAGCCATTTAACTACTGCCTTAACGGAACTGTGTAAAGACCATAACCGCAATTCTATTAAATATTAATTGTATGAATTTGACTCTGACGTCTTCTAAGGAGGAGAAAGAGAGAGAGAGAGAGAGAGAGAGAGAGAGAGAGAGAGAGAGAGAGA